CTGACCCTTCTGGAGCTGCATGAAGCTGATTAAATGATTCGCAGCTGCAAGTTCATTATTCTGGTTGCAAATTCTTCGAAAGGAGAGATATAAGAAACGGCTCTTCAGAGCTGACAATAAAATGTTCTTTTCTTTTGGTATAGTCACTTAATTTTAACACTTTGAACACTAAAGGGTTATTTTAATGTCGATGTAGGGCTCTCTATATTTGGCATATTGCTTTTTTTCAGTAGGTGTGGAGCTGGGAATTGGTGTAGCAACCTCATTAACCAGGCAACCTGTCTGAGACTTTGGTATCGAACTTCCAGCTTTGCTCAAAGAGACCAGGTCTTGCACGATCACACTGCATGGGTTGTTACCAAGCCGTTACTCCTAAATAAATATGACTTCATTAAGCAGTTTCAAAGTGTGACAGAGATGTAGCAGCCTCAGCGGTGCGTGTTTCCTACCCTATCTGCTTGGTGACAGCTGAGGGAGAGAGCAAGGTCCCCGGTGAGGGCAAGGGATGGCTGAGGATCCCGGCAGGAGCACGTGGGGGAAATGCACAAGAAATCAGGCTGTGCTTCTGCTCATGGAAGTGTTTATTGGACAATAAGAGTTAAATTCAAGTTAAACATGCCCATGCTCCTGTCCGGATTGAGGCACCCAGGTGAAGAGAAGCGCTACCGAGAGCAGCTATTTACCGCCTGGAGCTGCAATGAAACGCAGGGGAGCAAAAGGGCATTTATAGTCAGCACACGTCCACGGCTGACTCCTCATCTGGGTAATCACAGCTCTGCCTTTTACAAAGGACTTTTCACACTGAAAGGCATCAAAACACATGCAGACATAAGTTTTGGTTGTGGGTTTGAGACTGTCAGGAGCAGCAGTCTATGCTTTCCTGTTAATCCTCGTGCACGTAATCAAGAGGGGATATGTCCCTTCCAAAACTTCAAAGTTCATTCTGTTTTTTTCCAATAAAACCCACAAGAGAGAGAGGGTCCTAAACCAGATACTTTATTTGGCTGTTATCAGCCCCCCAAAAATGTTGGTAAATCGAATCTTCTTGTATTACAACCACATGGAAATTTTAATGAGCTCATATTAAAGCAAGAGCATCCATAGAAGGCTGCATATAATGGTGGCAAAGTTTGCCAGACTTTTGCAAAAATGTAAGCTTTTGACAATCACCTCAAGGAAATGATATTTTTTAAGGCAGCTCAACATTGCCAGACTGCAGATTCTTACTGAAGAAAGCACTGATTGTGTAAGGATTAACATAGGATGTGCAGTTCGGAAACCAACGCCAGCTTTCCATCTGGGAGCAAACTGTCCCTTAGAGAATCCTCGCCGGGTGAGGGACGTCTCTGCACGCCCACTGCTGTCACACAGGCAGGCTGTGGCTTTGACCTTGGCGTGCACCGTGCATCCCGCCGTGCAAAGGCTGAAGGAAGCCTGACCCAGCTCGCTGTCCTGCTAAAAGGATGAGGAGCAAGAACAGACTGTTTTGTTTGTTCCAGAGTAATGAGTTCTAGCAGTTCTCTGGGAGCACGCTGGGATATACACGCAAACTGCAGTATTGGATTTCATTGAATTTTCCAGTGTAAAAGGAAGACCATTTGAATGAGAAGACATTTCATTAAATTACTCACCTTAACAATGTTGTATTTGGGTTTGTGGTTTGTTTGTTTGTTTAACAAGATACATTTTGTTTATAGAAACCCTCCAGACAGTTACATTATGGAAATGCCATTTGCAGTGGTACAAATTCCAAGTTTTCCAGACAGTAAAAAACCCAACTTAGTACTAATACCAGGTTTATGCTGTTATTTACTTGTAACATAGAATGAAAGACTCAGATGTCTGCCTTCACTGTTGCCAGATCCATTCAGATCTCCACTTAGGCTTCTTTATTAGTGTAAACAAAATAAAGACTCACATGATAAACCCCCCGGGAGAAGGTCTGTTAAACACATTTCTTGTAGATGAATCAGAGAAGACATCTGAGTCTTGCGTGCTTGTTCTCTGAAGAGATTTTTCGAATTCAATTTCCTCCCCTAAGCGCATGCTTCTGCAGAGTAATTCCTGCAGACGCGCGGCAGGGACGAGCGATCACCGTTTGTAAGAGGGGAGCACTTACTCGAAGCGCCAGCGCTGGAAATGCCGGTGTGTTGTGCAGTACCTCAAGCCGCGGGAGGTCTCTGTTCCTCGTCTGGCGTGCTTCTGCCCTCTCCCCACCATTGTCTTAGGAAGAAACAAGATCTCTGTTACACTTCTCTTTCCACAGCTTCACAGTTTCCTTTTTTAGATGCAAATACATTCCTCAGGTCACACGCCAACATTTTCGTACCTGTCAAAGCACCTTGATTTCCAAATTTAGAGAGGCTTTCACTCAGATTTGCAGCTGTAGCAAACTGCCAGTCTTCAGTGGAAATGCCAAGCTGTAGAAGTGTAATTAGTATTATTTTGCATAGGAAGGATGAAACTCATTTTCCTTTCACTGTCTTTTGAGGCTAAAACCTTCGCAATCACGAAGGCCGAGCCAGCACAGAATGGACACAAATAAGGAAACTGGTTATTCTTTCCAAGGAAGAGAAAAATGCAACTTTGGTGAATTTTCACAGCCATTAGTTTGAAGCTGGCCACATGCTCCCACTTGATATTTCTCACTGCTGGTCCAAATCCAGCTCTGAAATGCCAGGGCTGGCTCCCACCGTGACCCGTCAGCCCAGCAGCTGCCTGCGCCGGCTGTCCAGGCACGGCAGCCCTGCTTGCCCACGTGCGAGGAATCTCAGCAATTTCGTTACGGATGGAGAGCCACTGCTCAAAATGGGATAAGCGCTGCTGAAAGCATTCGATCACCACCAAGAGCAGCAGGAAGGCAAGTATCAGTATTTGTGGCAATTGCTGTGGCACGTTATCAGATGCGCAGTTTTATTGAGCAGGGGAGTGTATAAAGGTTTACAAACGAACTCTTTTATCTAGTGCAAACTTTCCCTGTCTCCTGCCTTTTGGTTTTAAAAGCTGCAGGTCTGTTCCCAAGACTCAGAGTCACAGCTGCGTGGGTTCCACCTCGGGCAAAGCTGGGTGCTCTGCTCAGCAGCTGCCAGGCA